ACCACTGGCAGAGATGTCACCATCTCGGTGCTCAGGTCCCCCTGTCCCTCAGCTTTTCCTTGCTTCCATGTGCAAAGCTCCAGGGGCCCTGGATTTTACTAGGTGCAGCTCTAGGGTAGGGCTCTTGATCCCCACTGCTTTGCTGGCACTGAGAATCCACCCTTGCTTTCTTTCATCAAGGTCAGAAATCTCTGTTCCTGGCCTCAGTGTGTCAAGAGACAGCATGGGCAGGTCTCCCTGTTTGTCTGCATCTGAACGTCACCCATGCTGCCTTTCAGACTAGCAGGTCTGTATGCGTTTACTCCTGCTTAAGGCACAAAGGGGAGCACCTGCACATGCAGGTGGCTTGTCAAAGCTGGGCAGCTGCTTCAGCCTGCTCAGAAGTGACCAGCTTTAGCAAGGCCTGGCAGGAGGTGGGATCTGAGCAGGCAAAATGGGAAGACCATAATAAATGAGGCGTAAGTGGGAATTTTTGCCCTGCTCCTCAGAAAATACTGCATATATCCCAGGGATTTTGCCTCTGTGTGTGTGTTGGTATAGAGCAGGGTGCTGGTATAGAGCAGCAGTGTGCATAAAACCTCATCTCTCCATGGCTTTTAAATCCTGGCAGGCTGTCTGCATGATTTGATGCCATATGCATATCAGCAGGCTGGGTATTCAGTCCTGGCACTGAGTTCTTAGCTGAGCTCTTGCAGAGGCATTTGACAGATTTGTTGCTGTGAAATACCTAGCCTGTTTCCTGCAGAAATACCTTTCTGCCACAGCTAAATACAGTCACAATGATAATGGTGAGATACGGTTGAAGGTTCTGCAGGAAAAGCCAGGTGTTTTTTGTCCAGCTGAAAAATATGTGCATGATGGAGGTGCCTTCAACACTCGGAAGGAGAACTAATTCTGCTGCATAGGAAGCTGATATGGCTCCACCTGCTGGTTTCAAGCCAGGAATGACATTTTTCACTTTTCTGGGGAAAATTCTGAAACACCCAATTGTTTTGCAAACACCCTCCCCCCCCAAAAAAAAAAGCCCTGAACAACAACACACAAAAAAACCTGAAAAGAGACATGCATGCAAGCCTCCCCTGAAATTAAACAATGAAAAGTTAAATGAAAAGGGAACATTATTTGTGCCCTGCCAGTCAGGGATTGCGGAAGAAAAATGTAATATATCAGAAGAAATGAAGTAGTTTGAATAAGCTACTGATGCTTTATAGTTTCAGGCTTAAATTTAAATAAAAATGTGGACAGATAAAAATACTATTATTTGGGATGAGATAGCAGGCTTTCTGGCCACAAAATGGCTTTAAAAATAAAATGAAAAAAAAAAAAAAGAAAAGGGTTTTTTTTTCCAGCTCATTTAAAAATAAAATAAAAAAAAAAAAAAGACAAGTGTTTTTTTCCAGAGACAAAGCTAAATGAAATTCTTCCAGAGGCATTACTAACTTCAGGGATATATGGAAGGAATGCAAGGGGAATTTCTCTCTGAATGAATGTCTGTTTTGAAAGGCCTGGTTACCTGTAGTCAAACTCCCTGTTAAAGATTCAGTGACTGAGTATGGTAGCTTTTGAGTGGATAAGCTAAACACATCTATTCCCAATTAGGATGTAAAGCCAACTGGTCTCTAAAAGCTTATTACAATTTCTAGGGCTTGTGAAAATGCTGATTATGCAGATTGCTATCCAAATGCCTTTCAATTTACTAATAAAACAGTGTGATAAGTTTCTAACACTGTTGCCATCTGTTCAGCACTGAGGTTGGACAGATGAGTTTGAGAGTTCTACTTCTGGGTTTTTTTTAATAATAACTTAGACATTGCTTTCAAAAACTGTCTAAATTCTAACAATGTATTTTCCATCCTCTTTTCCAACTTCTGTGGGACAAAGGAGTATGTGCAAAGAAGGAAGGTCTTACACATAAAGAAGACCAGTTTCAGGATTGTAGATTCAGATCCTTGGTCTGAATCTGTTGGTAATTACACAGATTTTGGCGACCCAGATGGGACACTGCTCTTGAGCCTCGATGGATCCTGGGATCGCAGAACCTCAGCTGGCACCGAGGGATTCTCAGAGAGGATTCCTCCCGATCCCTGGACCGAAGAGCCCCTGAGTGAAGAACATTGTTTTGTAAGTATTAAGGCATTCTTTCAAAACTTGAATATTTTGCAGTTGAAAAAGCCTGCCTGTAATTTGGGGCTAAGAGGGTACCCGTTTTGCAGTTGGAAACCTAGGTGTCTGCCCGTAAGTCATAAGCGAAAGCTATTGCTGGGTTGGACTTTGTTTGGTTATATAACTGGTGAGCCATATATATACTAATATTGAGATATATATAATATATTATATATATAAAATACATATATAGTTATTTGGTAATTATAATTTTGTAATTACCTTTGAATATTTGTTGTAATGGCATCAGGATTTGTAAAACTGTTTAAGAGTAAAAATGTTGGGAATTTAGTGACAGATGAAAAGATGCCAAAAACCTTGCCGTTGGGGTGTTTGTTAGCGCATTGGGGTGATTTACATGATGATTTGCGCAATAGCCAGATGATTGAATATTGTAACCACTGGTGGCCTTTGTATGTTTTGGAGGATCAGGAAAAGGGGCCAAAGTGTGCAAAACCCAGATGATTGAATATTGTAACCATTGGTGGCCTTTGTATGTTTTGGAGGATCAGGAAAAATGGCCAAAGAATGGAACTTTGAGTTATAATACTATTTTGCAGTTAATGTTGTTCTGTAGGAGAGAAGGCAAATGGAATGAAGTACCATATGTAGATTTGTTCTTTTATTTGAGACAGCGAGTAAATTGACAGAATGAATGTAAGTTAATCAGTTGAGATAAGTTGGTAATGGCGTTAACTTCGGAAAATAAGAAAACAGAGTTGTTGTTCCTACCATTTTTACTCCTACTCTTTTACTTCCTTAAAAAAATTGTTAAAAAAAAAAGTTCAGCTTGTGATATTGGAAAGAGGTGCATTAAGTGTACAGTACCAAAAGAGGATGAAATGGAATTAGAACTAGGAATAGCACCCCATAGGAGGGACGGAATTTCCCTCCCTCATGTGTAAGGGAAAGAAGTGTTAAAACAGAACCGGATAAGCATAGAACACAGAAGAAGGCTAAATTGATATAAAAAATGGGTGCTGTATGGAATAAAGCATGCAATCCCAAGAGCTTTAAATTGGTCTAAATTATATGAGGTAAAACAAGATAAGAATGAATCTCCCTCTGTATTCCTAGAAAAATTAAAGGAAACTGCTAGAAAATATACTGATTTAAAATTGGAAACAGAGGCAGAACAACAACAATTGGCTTTGATTTTTATGGGACAATCAGCACCCGATATAAAAAGGAAACTCCAAAAGTTAGAGGGAAAGGATTCCAGAAATTTAAATAAAATGCTCGAAGTAGCATGGAAAGT